ACTCAGTCCTCAATCTTAATCTGGTCTGGTACATGCTGATCACTTCTTCTGTTCTCCAAGTAACCAGACTGACTCGATATCACTTATGTGTCCTCATCCAGGGCGCTCCCTTGGCTGTGCTCGATACTTGTAATTGTTCCACTGAAATACAGTCATTGCTGCCAAACATCATTTCGCTTAGTGTCAGACTGCATAAACAACAGTGTCCCCACAAGATTATAATGGCGCTGAGAAACTCTCATCATGTAGTGACACGGCAGTCATTACAATGTCATAGTGAAATGCACTACTCCCATGTTTGTGGTGATGATGGCATAGACAAATCTAATGCATGACTCATTATACAAAAGCACAGCACAAATACGTACAGTTCATAATTCTTGATAATGACAATACATGACTAGGGGATTGATTTATGCATTTACTATACTATGGTTAAAAACTTTTAATTAATTCATTTAAGAGGCAGTAAGACAGAGAGGGGAAAGAGAAAGGGAGGGAGGGAGAAGAGGAGAGAGGAGACAGTGCACTCCCATCTGCTAATTCACTCCTCAAAAGTCCGCATCAGTTGGGGATGGGTCAAGGCTGAAGCTGGGAGCCTATAGTTCAATCTAGGCCCCACGTTAGTGGCAGGGACCTAACACTTGAGACATCACAGCTGTCTTAAAGACTCTGCACTGGCAGGAAGCTGGAGTCAAGAGCCAAAGCCAACTATCAAATCCAGGTACTCAGATGTGGGATGTGGGTATCTTAACCACAGGCTCAAAATCTCTCCTCTATATTATATTTTCTATTGTTATTTTGTTATATATTATTGTAATTGTATGCCATGTTATGCTGGCAACAACCTCATACCTGTCACATTTACTGTGTCTATTCACTACACCTCTTTTGGATTTGATCTCATTTTGTTTTGCATATCATGGCCATAGAGAGCAATATGCTATACCATTCATTAACACATACACATTATGTACACATATGTATACATACACTCATCATGCAGCCACACACATCCCTCATGCAGCCTATATGTGTAGTAGGCTACACAATATATTTTGTGTAAGTGCAAGGTTTATACAATTAAAATCACTGAAGGAAGCACTTCTCAGGACATAATCTGTCATTAAGCAATACTCCAGTATACGCTCTTCCTGGGCTTTGTGACATCAGTCTTGGTTTCTTGTCTCACTTTATGGGTAAATGTGCAGATCCCTCTCCCAAGGCAGCTACTATCCCCTGACAAGACAACCCCTACCACCCCAAAGGAATGTGTATTCATCAAGTCTCCAACACTTCCCCTCCGTATTCTATAAACTACACACTCTTCCTTTTACATACTGGAAATTCCAAATCTATTATCTCCATCCCATAAACCGTTTTCATAAGCATCTAATCCACAAGAGTAACTCTCTTTCAAGAGTTTCTCCTTAGATGTCTTACAAGCACTTGATATTCAACATGTCTAAAATCAAATTCATCGCCATGGGTTTGGCATCATGGTACACTGGATTAAGCACCTGGTGGTGACACTGGTATCCCATGGAAGAATACGAGTTCCAGTCTCAGCTGCTCCACTTCTGATCTAGCTTTCTGCCAGTGTTCCTGGAAAAGAAGCAGCAGATGGCCCAAGTGTTTGGGTCCCTGCCACTCATGCTGCAGACTTGGCTGGAGCTCCTGGCTCCCGACTTCAGCTTGGGCCAGCCACAGATACTACCAGCATTTGAGGTGTGAACCAGCAGATGGAAAACCTCTTCCTCTCTGTCTCTCCCTCTTGTTCTGTCACTCTGCCTTTTAAAAAATAAATAAATCTTCTCAAAACGTTTCCACATAATTTGTTAATCAGAGATAGGCTTTTAAAGATATTTACATTGTCATAAAAAAATGATGAAGAATCTATGACCATTACTTTGGAATTTCCTAAGTGTTCCACTTTTCTATGAACTCAGAGAGAGTACCTGTTTTAAAAATGGATTTCACCCTGTCATTTCTGCAAATTAGAAAGGACAAAATTGGCCAGCACCGTGGCTCAATAGGCTAATCCTCCTCCTGCGGCGCCAGCACACCAGGTTCAAGTCCCGGTTGGGGTGCCGGATTCTGTCCCGGTTGCCCCTCTTCCAGGCCAACTCTCTGCTGTGGCCCGGGAAGGCAGTGGAGGATGGCCCAAGTGGTTGGGCCCTGCACCCCATGGGAGACCAGGAGAAGCACCTGGCTCCTGCCTTCGGATCAGTGCGGTGCGCCGGCCACAGTGTGCCGGCCGTGGCGGCCATTGGAGGGTGAACCAACAGCAAAGGAAGACCTTTCTCTCTGTCTGTCTCTCTCACTGTCCACTCTGCCTGTCAAAAAAAAATTCAAAAAAAAAAAAAAAAAAGAAAGGACAAAATAACAGAATCTGGCTTCCATACCTGCATTTATAAGGGAGTATACTGCACATAGTAAGCACTATATAAAAATTCACCAAACTGAAGAGGTTTAATCCATGTTTACTACATCATAATTTAAACCTACATACCACTGGCCAAATCCAGTAGGAAAAAACCTTAGCCATGTTAACTTGATAAAAATAATTCAAAATGATAAATATAATAAAGCAATTATCAAATTCATATTTGCTTGTTTAAGAACACAAGTTCTGTGAGTTCAGACACCAAATCCGTAAGATTGACCACTATTTCCTGCCTTGGAAGTAGCTCCCAGTAGGCAAAACAAACATAAATAGATGACAGTAAAACTGCACTTCTGGGCCAGTGCCATGGTTCACTTGGTTAATCCTCTCCCTGTGGCACCAGTATCCCATGTGGGTGCTGGGTTCTAGTCCCGGTTGCTCCTCTTCCAGTCCAGCTCTCTGCTGTGGCCCAGGAGTGCAGTGGAGGATGGCCCAAGTGCTTGGGCCCCTGCACCTGCATGGGAGACCAGGAGGAGGTACCTGGCTCCTGGCTTCAGATCAGTGCAGCGCCGGCCATGGGGGCCATTTGGGGTTTGAACCAATGGAAGGAGGACCTTTCTCTCTGTTTCTCTCTCTAACTCTATCTGTCAAAAAAAAAAAAATCTACATTTCTGCTTGTATTTTGATGCCATTATACTACCTACACATATAACTGGGTCTTTACTGCTGAATACATAATTAACAGTATTCTGACAGTAGAGTGAATTTATAATCTGGTACTAAAAATCGGAATCCAAGGTGTCATTAACCATCATAGTCTCAGGAATAAATAAGTGAAAAAGCAAAGTCCAAACTGGGCCTAGAATGTAAAAGACACACTCTGACATAAATGTCTAATCAGCAATGTGCTTGCTGTGTGGAGCTGCTGGTGTGCTCCTATGAAGATGAAGGGAAGACAGGTTCAGTTAACTGTTGAAAGTCATTAACCTTGTCACTAGCAAGAAAAATAACCAGAGAGAAGGCTGATTTAGCTAAATTTTTATGCTGGGTTTGCAAATTATTTTTGCATTATCACAGAGCTAAATATTCTGAATCAATGTCATTGTGGGATTTGTTTTAAGCACATAACAATAAATCAAGAAAAAATTATGCAAGAAACTCTAATTGTTCTGAGAAGCCTAGGCCATTCTTTCCCAGGTTTCCTTACTTGATCATCCTTATGTTGCAGACCTTTACATACTAGAAGCCTTGGGGCCAAATCCTCTAAAGTCTTTTCTACCTGTACTTTCTCTAGTAGGTGAACCCATCCATTCCTTGGCCAAACAACAACTAAATGGTAAATTTACATCTCCAATTGTAACTGCTTCACTTAATTTCAGGCTTAACTGCCTACTCATCAGCTCCACTTTGCTATAAAACAGACATCTCCTAGTTACAACTGCTGAAACCAGATTCTTGGTCTACCATCATGTATAGATCAGGCCCACAACGTTGGGGTCCCCCTTGGCTCTCATACTCATTTGCTCCATCAACATACCCTGTGCCACCTCTGCCTTCACAATATATCCTACCACTCATCAACACTAGGTTCTCACGGAAGCCATCTCTTGCCTTGCCTGTACAGCATCATCATAACTAGACACTCACTTTCACTCTTATTCCCCCAAAGCTTACTCATCTGGAGCCATAGAAGGCCTTCAAAACAAAACAAAGATCAGTCCACATCCTAGTTCTCAGAATGAGTAGTTTCCTATTGTATTCAGGACAAAATTAAAATCTTCTCCCATCATGACCTGTAGGGCTCTATGTGATCTGGTCTAGAGATTGTTAAAATCATTTCTTTCCATTCTCTGACTCATCCACATCTCCCAAGCCACAAACCTGCAGACCAGCACTTTTCAGGGTCTTTAACTCTGCTGGATCCTAGATCTAGAACACACTATCAAGACAAATGCATGCTTTGCTTCTTTACTTTTCAAGTCTTTCATCAAAAATAGCTTCTCCTAATGCCCTAGCTTTCAGAATACTATTCAGAATATCTCTCTTTCCCTTGCCTGTTTTTCTTCATGGTATTTAAAATTGATGGACACTATGTAACATGATTATCTTTTATCTACTTACTTTGTTTCCCCCACTACTCTATATACTTCCTCAGGGCAAGAATCTTGCCTATGTATTCACTGCTGTACCCTCAATACCTAATAATAATCCCTGATGAAGAGTAGATGATTAACAACAGTTACTGAAAAACTAAACACACTGAAGAAAGTGAAGTTTATAAAAGCCTCACATGCGTGCAAAATTCAGGATTTTATATCCACTATATATCACCACTGAAAATAGTTATAATCACCAAACTGCTTTACAAATACCTAAATGTGAATATTCCATAGAAATCTATAATAATCTGAGCACAATGAGTTACTCATTAAAAATATAAAAATACATAAACTTCATTGGTATTTACTTGCTATGAAGAAAGTTCATATATATTTTATATGCATGATTCAGGAAATTTCCAACAGCTTTTAACGTAATGATTTCTTCCCCAATAAAATAACCAAAACATCCCAACCCCCAGAATTGTTGAGATAAAAAGCAAAAAAGCACTTACCGGCCTTTCTCCACCAAAAGTAAGACATCCAATTTTTCCCCATTTTGAACCATTGTGCTGATTGCTAGAGAAGAAGAAAAAAGGTATGTATTTTTAAATGTTATGCTAAACACCTATACAGACACAACTGTTAATACTACTTAGTCCCATGTTCCAGAGTGAGCCATCATTTTATGTAAAAGCTACCATTATCCCATCAATAAAGAACTGTGTCCCTAAGATAAGAGAAAAGCATCTTACTTAACTCTTGCAGTCTTCTTAAGTGCATCCTGTCTTCCTGAACTTCCTGCATCTGAAGGCAAAAACGCAAATTGAATTTGTCCATAGCAAACCAGCCTTTTTTCCACTGATCCAGGGCATGGCAGTCTTTGTAGAAGAGCTGGCCAATCAAGTCGTAGTCAGTTTCTGTTAAGTTTTCAGCAACAAAGGGAACAAAATGCTGTTAAAACAAATACAGAGAAGTAATAAAGACAGTGAAAATAGGAAATCTCTTCCCTAACCACAGATCTGAGGAAAGGTGGCAAAATTATCTTGGTCACCCCAAATTCAGAACAATTATTTAAGCTTACTGGGTGTTTCCAAACTAAACAGTAAAAATGGATTTTCAAATGGCAGCATCTTGTGCCGTTTTTCTTGCTCTACATAAAGTTGAAACAGGAAGACATTCTCTTTGTTGATCTGTGGCCTTTTTAAAAATGTCAACCTACACTGTTTTTTCCGCTTATATATATTTTACTGATTCTGTCCATTTCTTCCCCTCTGTCCACACAATGAGTAAGAAATTTACATATAAAAACATACAGAAATTAATATTGAAAACAATCATCAAAAACATTGAAAGTTCAATGAATGATTTTTTCCAACATTGTTAATCTCTTCTCTGCTTAAGGCTCTAGAAAGGCAACTCTCATCTTCTTTTGACTATAAACTTGGAAAACCTAATGAAGAACATACATTTTTTTCTCCAGGTTCTTGAATAAAATTTTCATGGACCCCTAAAGCTCAACCACAGACGCAAAGTTAAGAATTTTTCCTGGGTTTGAAGTAATAATATAATATTTAAATACCTTGGCTATTGCCTCTGTCCACTTTCTTTGAGCTTGAGATGTTTCAGCTCCAAATAAAAACACACGCTCAGAAGGTAAGTAGATCTCAAAAACAAAGATGGGCCTGTAGCGTGTATGAATAAAAAGACACCATCAGCCATTGTGCTTGGCTCTTACAAAACAACATACAGATCAAGTTATGAATGAAATTCCTTTTTAAACAGGAAAATGCTGTGAAATCAACCTATTCATCCAGCTAGCATTATTTTATTGATGGTTTGTATGGCTATCAAATGAGTTAAATGGAACTTTCTAGATCAGACAAAATTAATATTCTTCTGATGACAATCTACTGCATGATGCTGCTGGTGCCCTGGACACTCTTCAGCTCACGGATATGACAAAGGACTCTGCCTGGCTTCCTCTTCCTTCTCTGACCACTCTGCCTAGATTACCTCTGACTAATGGCTCAAAGCAAATGCTGTCCAAAGAGTTATTAGCCCTCTTCTTGTGGTAGTTTACAAATCTTCCTTCTCTCATGCCACCCCAAAACATCATCACTTTATTACAGATAAAATTAGAGTAACAGCCAATGGCCTGACTTCTACCATGATTTCCTCATCCAGATCTCCAACTATTTCCTGGAACATGTGAGGCTTGTGTGCTACTATTATCTAAAAATCTCAAAAGACCCTCTCTGTCACTATCAGTAACATTTCATCAATAAAGTTATATTTTTAAATATGTTATAGGTTGACATGAATGAACAGTAATTCTTTTAAGTGGCAATTTATTTACCAATCTAGCAACTTTACACAGTGCTCTTCTTTAAACATTCCACAGTATGACACATAATTGACTATTCATTAGAATGCCACTACCAAGAGTTAAAATATAAACACATAGCTTTGCAAATCTCTTCCTTTTGTCATATAAACCTTTCATTAAAATGCTAAAATCCTATAAAACTGATTTTTTAGATATAATACTTAAACTTTTTCATTAAATGTATCACAAAACATGGTATGAAATTTCAGATCAAAGACCTTAGGTGATCTGTGTCCAAAAGCCCTCAAAAAAAAAAAAAAAAAAAAAAAGGTGCTGGGTTCTGGTCCTAGTTGCTCCTCTTCCAGTCCAGCTCTCTGCTGTGGCCCAGGAAGGCAGTGGAGGATGGTCCAAGTGCTTGGGCCCCTGCACCCACATGGGAGACCAGGAGGAAGCATTGGCTCCTGGCTTCAGATTGGCGCAGCGTGCCAGCTGTAGCAACCATTTGGGGGTTGAACCAATGGAAGGAAGACCTTTCTTTCTCTCTCTCTCTCACTGTCTAACTCTATCTGTCAAGTAAAAAAAAAAGTCCTCAAACTCAGTTGAACTACCCATGAGTCAAATATGTTATATATATATGTTTAATATGTCAAGTGCAATTTTTTTCAGACTATTAAAATACCAGCATATTTTTTAAGAAATGTAGCATTTCAATATACCAGCAAATTTGATATTTTACTTTAATGTGAACAAATTATCACTGAATATTTCCCTTTCTCTTCTATTTTAATCATGATACTCATTAAATGAACTCATAAATTTTGCCATTAGTCCACTATATAAAATAATGACTAAGTAATATAAAAGGATTATGAGGGTGAAGAAGGGAATGCTAAAATTTGTTTATGATTAGATGCAAACAAATGAACCTTTCATGCCTTGCAAAACACTTTCATTTTCATACTTTTTAGTAAATTCTCTAGAGAACTTTCAGAAGCAACTGAAGAACAGAAATGGAAACAAAACCCTTTTTACCTGGTGTGACAATTACCTAAAAATACCTTTCCTCTTGTGTAAATGGCAGACCTACCCAGTATTTAAATAGAAGTCCTCTTTGTGTATAGCCAGGCAGATAACTTCATTGATATTAATGGTGCCGTTAGGCGTGGTGGACTTATCATTTTCGTAGTAACTCAAGAAACCTCCTTCCAAAACACACCACTTCTTATTCGTCTCTAAAAATTTAGAACAAAACAAGTAATACTTGAGCTATAACATCAACCTGATTTTTACAAATGCATGGTTTTAAGTAATAACTAGATTCAAATAGATAAATGTATTAATTTCTCAGTTCATTGTAAAGAGCCTACTACTGTTTCATGGGATATAAAGGTGTCACATTTTCTGCTTTCAAAACATTTACAATCTAATAGCATGGAATGTACATGGCAAAAATGACTGTCACACTGAAGACCACTGAAGCAGGCAGATCCATAAAACACTTGCTGCAAAACAACTGTGAAACTGCAAAACGGATGTGTGTACAAAGCATGAGGAGGGAAAATGTCTGCAGAATGTTAGGAGGAAAAGGGGACTGCAGCTGACCACAGGCAGGCACACCAGAGAAGAAGGCGCTGTTCCCTGTAATTTCCTAAAAGCCTTGATTAGGGGACTGAAAACCATCTTGCACAGGGGTCAGCCAACTATGGCTTACAGGTTAAATCAGATCATCACCTGCTTTTGTAAACAAAGCTTTTCTGGAGTAAGTCACAGCTATTCATCAAGTGGCTGCTTTGCCTGGACCTGAGCTGAGATGAGGCAGAGCCCCTCTGGTCCACAGAACCTAAAATATTCAAAAATTGCTGATCCCTGATTTTTGTGGGTGTAGGTGAGCCACTGAAATGGTTCTAGCAGTGGAATAACATCAGATTTGAATTTCTCACACTCTGTTTACTGTGGCAAATGGATTTGAAAGGATGATGCCAGAGGCCTCTGTTGACAGAGGTTTAAGTGAGGGATTAAGAGGCCAAAGCAGGACACTGGCTATTATTAAGGACAGGAGAAGGGGGATACAACAAGACTGATGGGGTGTGGATAAAAACAACACAAGCATGCATATGTGTTTTAAGGAAATGAAACTGATGAGATACAGAAAATAAGGAGAACTCACTAATCATGGTATCACTGAAAAGCTTTGATTAAAAGATGGACAATAATACTCATTACTATTTAAAATAAAAAATAAAAGAGGTTGCAGTGAAATAGCAGTTTCCTTTCAGAAACACTGAAGGAGCATTTGGAAATCCAATTAAAAGTAAGTATGGGCCGGCGCCGCGGCTCACTAGGCTAATCCTCCACCTTGCGGCGCCGGCACACCGGGTGCTAGTCCCGGTTGGGGTGCCGGATTCTGTCCCGGTTGCCCCTCTTCCAGGCCAGCTCTCTGCTGTGGCCCAGGAGTGCAGTGGAGGATTGCCCAAGTGGTTGGGCCCTGTACCCTATGGGAGACCAGGAGAAGCACTCGGCTCCTGCCATCTGATCAGCACGGTGCGCCAGCCGCGGCGGCCATTGGAGGGTGAACCAACGGTAAAGGAAAACCTTTCAAAAAAAAGAAAAAAAAAAGTATGGAGGAGACAGGGAAAGCACTTGATAACTAGAAGGTGTTCAGTATGAGATAGTAGTTCAAAATATTCAGTAACCAAACATAAAATCTTAGGGAATTTAATATTATAAGGGGTGATGAATATATACAGGTCCTTAGGAACTATGGAGAAAATGAGAATACACATAAAACAGAATAGAAGTAAAATGCTTCTTTAAAAAAATATATTTATTTATTTGAAAGTCAGAGTTAGATAGAGAAGGAGAGATACAGAAAGACAGAAACAGAGAGAGAGAGAGAGAGAGAGAGAGAGAGAGAGAGAGAGATTGATTTTCCATCTGTTGGTTCACTCCCCAGATGGACACAACAGCCAGCACTGGGCCAGACAGAAGTGAAGAGTTTCTTCCAGGTCTCCCACGTGGGTGGCAGGGCCCCAAGTATTTGGGTCATCTTCTGCTGCTTTTCCCACACCTTTAGCAGGGATCTGGAGTGCAAGTTGGAGCAGCCTGGACTGGAGCTGGTACCCATATGGGATATTGATTTTGCAGGCTTGATTCATTCTGCCACACCACCCTCCCAGAGCATTTTTTAAAGGATTTATTACCAATATGAAATATGGCAAAGATATCCAATGCAACAAGTGCTGAGAAAAACACCTGTGGGTCTGCACAGGTATTAGGGAGTAAACTGCCTACTGAAAGTGTAGTGGAAGATGCCAGGTTGCAGCATACTGAAGACCACATGTAAAGTTAAAGGTAAAGCCAGTCAGGACGTATCACCAGCCCTTGTAATGCAGGAAAGCCTGTCATAAGCGAACATGAAGAAATGAGCCATCATAAGGCAAACAGCAAACAAAGGTGTATATGCATGTGAGTACTTATGTGTACACATACACACTAAAAATGAGGATAAAAAAATTTAGAGTTAATATTTGGGATAACTGGGTAAAAGACATGGGAATTCTTTGCAGCACTGCAAATTTTCTGTAAGTCTCAAATAAAGTCAAAATAGCTTTTAAAACATTATAAGAAAAATATATTAAAATGCTCCTTAAATTCTCCTTTATCATATCATTTGAACCTTAGGAGGGGGGAACTGGTAAAAAACTAGAAGAGAACAAGACAATATATTGGGCCTCAAAATACAGTCCCTTGGACAGATGGCCAACAGGAAGCAACCCTGAGACTGAGAAGTATATATTGTGAAACATGGGTCACCATATGAAAAGTCAAGTCATAACTCAGAGAAGCAAACAGCACAAAGAAATCCTTTATGTGTCCTGGGAAAGAGCTAACAGAGACCCAATCAATTCCCAGGGAAAGGTGATCCATTGTTTTTCTGGGCCCCTAAATGCTGAATCACAGCCTGTCCTCTGCATGGTTATATGAAAATCATGAAAGGAAATAATTTTTAAAAGAATAATCATTTCTGACTTCTAAAATGTAATGAAAACATCAGTATACTCATCAAAGGGGGTTATAACTTCAAAACAAGGCATTTAGATGACTAGAATAACCTGCACAAAAGAGTAAGTCGACCTCCACAATATTTAATACACAGAGGATAACTACTGGCAGATTAGGATTCCGCCTCCCGTCCTCACTAGTAGCTTTGCAGTCCAACGGAAGGGGAGATGTGCCTGGAATGATAACCATCAGGTAGTCCATTTAGGAGATCAGAAGTTTCAAGGACGGAAGCCACTCTCAGACTGGAGCCATCAGAAAGAAACTTCACAGAAAGAAACGGCTTTGAAACAGTCCTTTACGATTGAGGAGGCATGCTTCTAAAACAGCAAAGAATGTATTCAGAACTACAATCACTTCCCCATTCTGAGAAAGAACAGCGTGAGCAAAGTCACAGAAAGGGGAAACCAGAATCCCTATTTGGGCAGATAATGAGATTACACAAGAAGCTGGGAAACAGGAAACAAGATGGCAGGTTCATGGCAGAGGCCAGGCCTCGAGGGCCTCACATGACAGGTGTTCTAGAATCTGTGCCTCTGTCAGGAGACAAGTGGGAGCCATTCAAGGTCCTAACAAACAGTGCCAAATGAATGACGCATAAAATAAATGTGAATGCAGAATCTAATTATGTAAATTCTAATGGGAAACAAATGACAGATCTCTTTTTCAAGGTATACATAAACTCATTTTAAGTTAGAAATATGGGCTTGAGCAGATTTAGTCCCGTAGCATTATCATTTCTATAACCATTTATTAGCGTTAGTTTTGTAAGTGAAGTGGGCCAGAGGTCTGACAAGGTAGGCATGGATATTACCCTTGAGGATTTAGAGTAACAGAGCTGTGATGGGAAATCTTGACATTCCTATTGATTTGGGAAGCAATGAAATGCTTTAGCAAAATTATCTTGGATGATATTCGTTTGCTTAGGCCAATTTAGTTGTGAACTCTTGACTCTGACTCTCAGAAATGTCGATACCCTCTGTGAGACCCTCTGTGCAGCACAAGTCCTCCTGTTAATCAGCTACTGGATGATGTCTACGAGGGCAAAATTGGGGTCACACAATGGATACCTCTTAGGACTCTCATTTTTAATAGACAGGAGCTTGTGTGGAAGGTGTAAGTAAAGTGGGTGGGTTGGCCACAGGGGTTATTCATTTTTTTCTATTCAATTTTTTTGTAATTTTTATAAACGGATTTCATGTATTTCATAGATATAATTCTAAGAAGATAACCATACTTCCCTCCCTCAACCCACCTCCTTCATTTTTTTTAATTTTGCAAAAACATAATTTTGATTTACTGTATAATCACAGGTTAATACACCACTAAACATACTTTTCAACAAGCAAAAAGTAGAAAGACCACTGTTCTACAGGAGTCTAAACAAGACCTAAAAACAATAATCAAATCATTAATATATCTGTTCATTCTTATACATTTATTGTATTCTATATTAACTGCCACATATCAGAGAAAACATGATATTTGTCTTTTGGGGACTGGCTTATTTCATTAAGCATAATGGTTTCAGTGAAGGAAAACATTACTTTGGGGTTTACTCAAGCATGGGTAAAGAACTCCAAAGGTGACCTATATCAATATGACTATGCAATGATACAGATACCCCAAGGGAGTACCCTAGTTGTCAGCTACAGCCTATAGGCAACACACAAACTCAAAATCTAACTGGAATCCAGAAGCAGCTGTGTTTACATACAAGCACACTCACTAGCACTTCTCTTCTTTCCCCTTCTTCTCTCACACCTACACACCATACATAGTTCTCCACATTTTATATACATTTATCTGAATCCCATTATCAGGTTAGTCTATTATCATACCCCTTCCCTGTATCCTTTCCACAGGTACATAACAGTTCATTGACCTCCTCAAGGTCACACAAGTACTTGGCATCGGAGCTGGGGGTAGAACCCAGGCAGCTGGGGTCTGATGCTGTACTCTTTTTTTTTTTTTCTTTTATTTATTTATTTATTTTTTTGACAGGCAGAGTGGACAGTGAGAGAGAGGTCTTCCTTTGCCGTTGGTTCACCCTCCAATGGCCGCCGCGGCCGGCGCGCTGCGACCGGCGCACCGCGCTGATCCGATGGCAGGAGCCAGGAGCCAGGTGCTTTTCCTGGTCTCCCATGGGGTGCAGGGCCCAAGCACCTGGGCC